TAGTTGAAGGAGTCACAATGGAATTTAATGACACAGTTATCCTAAGAGAAGGGAATGGGAAATAGGCTAAGGAGCAAAAACTAAACACCTCAATGGGAACACCTAAATATGCAACAAAATTAAACAATCATGTTAAAAACATGTGTGTATGTATATGTGTATACATATGTGTGTGTATCAGTTGTACACAGATAAAAGAGAAGAAAATCTTAGCAAACCAAATTTGATAATACATTAAAAGTGTCACATATCCTAAATAAGTAGAAGTTATTTTGGGGATGCAAGGATGTTTTAACATCCACAAATCAAGGACTGTAACTCACCAAATCAATAAAAATAAAGATAAAAATCATATCATCATATCAGTAAATACAGAGAAAATATTTGACAAGATTTCAACATCCATGGACAAAATATCATTCATTTATTATAAAATCTTTAAAAATTTTGGACAGAGGACCATACCTCAATGTAGTAAAACCATAATGACAAACCTAGTGTGAGCATCACACTCAAAACTTTTCAGCTTTTCCTCTAAGGTAAGTAAAGAGGATGTCCACTTTCATCACACTCAACATAGAATTGAAGGCCCTACCTAGAATTACTAGGCGAGAGAAAAAATATAAAAGGATTCCAAATTGAAAAAGAAGTAACAGTACTTATAAACAACTGGACAATATACATAGAAAACCTGAAAGAAAATTGTTTGAAATAATAAATCACAATAAAGCAACAGACTACAAAATCAGCATATAAAAATCTGTGGCATGTCTTGCCTTTTGCAGTAACATGGATGGAGCTGGAAAAGATCATATTTAGTGAAATAAGCCAGAAAGAAAAGGAAAAATACCGATGGTTTCACTCACTCACAGCAGGAATATAAAGGACCAGGGGAGAAAATAATAATAATAATGAACAACTATATACCAGAGACATTTTATGAGGGGGGAATGGGATCAAAACCAGTGTGGGGGGAGGAGGGAAATGCACTGTACTATGGTGATGGCACACGGGTAATTTGGTGATGGGAAGCCCATGGGGATTCCAACTGTGATGGAAAAAGACACAAAATGATATAAAAATAACATTATTGTTTTTAAAAATCTGTGGCATGTCTATTAGGGAAAAAAAGACAAATTAGAAGAGGAAGACATCAAGTACAATCATATTTACCATTAAATAACTAATTACCTGGGGAAAAAATTAACAATGGAGGTAAAAGATCAAGAAAAACAAACAAGAAGGTGGTATTAAGAGAAATAGAAAATACATAGAAGCGGAATCCATCATGCTTATGGATTGGATAAACATGTTTTAAACAGGGCCATAATACCCACAAGAATATAAAGGTTTAATTCCCTTTCAGAACTCCTATTAACTTCTTCAAAGAAATTGAACATTCTGAATTTTGTTTGGAACCACAGAAGACCCCTCATAGAGTCAGTCAGAAAAAGGTCAAGGAAAAGGGAAGAATACAGGCAATGGGCTAAGGTCTGTGTATACTACCAAGGACTGTCCCTCATTCCATATCGCAAAACAGCCTGTAGCGAGCCATTTATTCTTCCAAGGAGAATAAATTGCTTCCCCAAATCAATTGAACAAGCAGAAATCTAAGACATTTAAGAGAGAGAGTTAATGACACTAGGATAAAGGCTTCCCCAGTCTGCCATTTGCAGAAATACCGGGACAATACCATGTATCACTCTAAAGAGAAATACCAAATCAACAAATCCTGCCACATCATGAGAACTGATGTCAATAGATTACCTGAAAGAAGCATTCAACATGCCAAGGAATGACCAGACACATCACAAAATGACTACAGAGTATAGAGAAAGGATACAGGCGACAAGGGAAATTAAAATATAATAAAGATAAAATGTACAACCAAAGCTATTTTTTTCTATAAATTTTATAACAATCTATTTTAAAGGGTACATTTAAAGTATAAAGTCAAAGGGCTTTTTTTTTAGTAAATTTACCAAATTATGAAACCATCAGTATAAATTAGATTTCAGCATATTTCCATCATCCCTGTAAGATTCCAGTTGCTCATTTAACTTTAATACCTGTTCCATGACCCCATCCCGAGCAATCACTAATATGCTACCTATATCTATACATTTCTTTTTTCTGGATAATTCATATAAAGGGAGTCATATGACATGTGGGTTCTTGTGTATTGCTCCTTTCACTTATATCCATGCAATGCAGCGAACATTTGTGTGTGTGTTGTAGCATATCTCCATCATCCTAAACCAGGGTGCTTAATCCATGTGGCTATCACATCCCCAAGAAAAGAGCACTGTATAAAAAGAGAAAGCTGCAAGCATAAGAATATGGCAGGCACTTAGAAATTTAAAATGTTATGTTCTAAAATAAGATAGAGTACAAAGAATAAAAGGTAAAGGTGAGAAAATCTCCTATGAGAGTAATCACTATTAATAGTTTGTTTATATTCCTTCATATCATGTTTCTCTCTTCTAATTTGAAGACATAGATAATAAGTTTTTAAATACAGTGTTTAAAATTTATCCATAAATATAATAATAATTTCTATAAAAGAATGTTGAGAAAAGAAAAATGTAAACAGTACAATTACATAAAGGAACCTTTTCTATCCAGAAATGGGCATATTAGTAGATTTAATTGTCACTGATTTATATGTTATCATTTTTATCACACTATAATTATACTCATATTCTGCTTTTCTTAAACATTTGTGACAATTTCCTTTATTATCAGATACTTTAAAAGCTTCACTTTTACTAACTTCTACACACTTCATTCAGTAGTCATGTTACTTTTAAATATTTATGGATTCCCAGATTTTCAAATGTATAAATAAATGCACAACATATTCCAGTATTGTTCTAATCACAGACTATTTCCATAGTTAGGTTAGACTTGCAAGTGAAATACTTGAAGACAATACCATTTAAAGCTCTATTACATATTATGGGCTTATTTTCCATGAGGTTTATAACTATTGTACGTGACAACTTGTACTGTACAAACATAAAAGCAACACTTTGCAGTAAAACATTCCTCATGATTTTGTTTGCCATAGGTGGTAATTGTAAGTTATATAATGTACATCAATGCTTTAAATGAGACAGGAATTTAATTGGGGGGTAATATTGAAAATACTTTTTATTACTTTATTTAGAGTGGATGGCAAACTCCATGGTCGGATGATATGTTTTTGCTTAAATATTGTCCAATGTAGATTCACCTTCTTACACATACCAAGTGTATACATGTGTGTGACATGCACACAAACATATCCAATCCACAATGGTATTAAATTTGTATGTTAATATGCTTACCAACATGAACACCACCAACATAACTGGTGGTCTGGGCAGCATTTTCTAAAATCCTTCCTGTTGACACTCACTGATACAACTGCCCTTCTTTATTTCTCATGTAGTGCCCAAATTCCACTATATTCTTACCAGGTGGTTTTAAGTAAATTCATAATTATGACGAACCTTATTAATAACATATACATCATTCAAAAATTTTATCATTTCCAACATGTATGTAAACATCAAATACTATGTATCATCAAGTACGTGTAATTTCCTGATGATATTTATCAACAGGAACTGAACTCCTTTATATAAATTCACGGATAATGTGGATTTAGACCCCTTTCTAAAATTATGTTGCTATATTTCCTCCTGTTAGGAAGACATGTAATTTAGAAACGCCTTTGCCATTCTCTTTTTCAAGTTATTTATTTTGAAGTTAAATGTTTAAATTCTATTTCTTAAAATCAGAGTCTACAGGGATTTAATAAATTATGGAAAATTATCATGTATAAATTTGTTTACCTAGAAAATAAAGAAGTCCAAATTTGAAAATGTTTGCTTACCGTATGTTAGGAATCTTAATTTCAACAAAAATGTCTCTTTTGAAGTTGCCGAAACAGAAAGTCCCTCTGTGCATTTGGTATACAATTCTTATGCTGCCCTTACTGAGATTATATGAACTATATAAGTCACCATTGCAATGCATCAGTGAAAAGCTCTGCTCCAGTTTGCTTAATGCCTTTGCTGTTCTAAATCCAAGATCAGGCTCATTCTGTTTTCTGTCTGTATAATGTCTATTTTTTGCCTTCTGAAATTCATAAAATCTTCCTGCTTCCAATTGCATTGCAAATTTATTTGCTTTTTTGTTTTTTCTGTTTCAGGAAGATTAGGTTGGGGGTCAGAGGGTAAATGAATCGGTTGCAATCTTGCATGTGAACCAACAGTGTCAATTATTTTTTAAAAAATATTATTTTAAATTTTAATATTGGCAATTGGATATTTTTAATTGTTAGAAGGAATTTCATCATGAGATAGAAAATACTGCTAATCAGTGATTGATCAAACTGTAACCTTGGAATATACAGTGATGAGAAGAGCCTTTGAGATGGCACCATTAATTGACTAGATCAGATAGGTACTCGCTTAATTTTCTATCTTCTTTGTGCACACTTTCTCTTTAATATATAGGACTAAATCACTTTTTTGGCCATAAATTCTAATTTAAGACTAATTTTTAATTGTTAGAAATGATTTCCTTGTGAGAGAAAATACTGCTAATCAGTGGTTAATCAGAATGTAAACTTTTTTTTAAAAAAAGATTTATTTATTTATGCTTGCAGAACTGGGATACAGACCAGAGGTGTGGTAGGTGAAAAGATTCAGGAGTGACAGAGTGGGGAGCAGAACAGGCAGATCTACTGAAATATGCTGCTGAGGGCAGTAGTGGGCAGGTCAGGAGAGGTCTGCTGTGCCATGTGGGTTATTTCCCTGGCCTGAATCGAACTTGCAGGGTATTGGCTCCTGAAAGCACCATAATGAGGTGCTTTAACCCTTTGGCCACCAGGGAGAGCCCCAAACTGTAACCTTTTTTTTTTTTTTTTTTTTTTTTTTGTGGGAACTTTAGTAGCCTTTTAACAAACACATCTGTCTTTTTTCTTTTTTTTTTTTTTTTTTAATGTATAGAGATTTGCCTGTTGACTAAGGGACGCCGCACTGCCAGTGTTAGAGCTGATACATATTGTCGCCTGTATTCGCTTTCTGTGGATAACTTCAATGAGGTCCTGGAGGAGTATCCAATGATGAGACGAGCCTTTGAGACGGTTGCCATTGATCGACTAGATCGGATAGGTACTCGCTTTAGTTTTCTATCTACTTTATGCACAATTTCATTTTAATATGTATAGGTAGGTCTTAATCACTTTTTTAGTCTTAAATTCTAAATGTTAATTTATAGGTGTTTATTAGCATGGAAAAAACAGTTAGCTTCACTCATATTTTTAGAAAGATGTGAAACTCATAATTTTCTCTTCTAAATATGCAAGTTCACTTATTCATCTCTATTTTTACTAGCTAAGCAATCTGATATCTCCAACGATGCCTAACCAACTTGAATCTTCAGGTAAAAAGTGATGGTAAAAATTCTAGATGGTATTAACATAAAATTAAGATACGATAGTATGGCTCTACATACAATTTTTGTTAGAATTTTATTTTTGAAGAATCACATTTACATTTTATCCTTATATTGAAAATTAAAAACTTGTTCATTTTAATTATCTCCGTAGCAACTTCCTGAAATATTTATAATGCAGACTTAAGCAAGAAAAAAATCTTGATAGAAGTGCCCTATAGATGCTTTACTTTGTAAACCAATTTGTCAGAACATCTGCTCTCAAATAAAAATACAAAAATTAGTGTTCATTAGCCATACTATCTTGAAGATTTGCATAATTGCCATAGTAAAGTTAGATATGATTACTTGCTCTTAATCTCCCTAAATATGTTGGAACATTCTGAAGTTCCAGGGTGCTATATGTTCATTTTTCATACCTGTAGTCTCTTCCTCCACCTTATTCTGTCTTCCCCCCTTAAACTGCTAAACTCTGCTCAACATTCAAATCTCAAATTAGATACCACATCCCTGTAGAAACTCTATGACTTTTGATGCTCCTATTCGGCTAAGAACATAGATATGTTCTCCCATACTCATTACAACACTGATTTTATTACTCTAACTGCTCCAGAGATATGATCTAACTCACTGTAACATTCACTAGTTAGTACACAATGACTTTTGATGGCAAGGGTTAGAGGCAGATGATGCAAGAAAAGAACAAAAGGAGATGAGGTTGGGTTCACTGGGAAATAACTAATACTGTACTTCAGCTGCTTCATTCTTACAAAAGGGCAGGACTTATAATTGTGTGTATGTCAGCTTTTACTACAAGATTCTTCAAATCTTTCCCACTCTATTTATGGGCCAATTAACTGTATAAACCTGTGAATTTACATTAGGAGAAACGGAAGTGCTATTTGGACATTAGACTAAGAAACATATTCGAAATTAATATTGAATCCTTAGGGGTTTGACAGGACACAGTGTCCAGAGAGACAGTGCTTATAGTGTCCAGAAAGCATTCTTTCTCAACTCGAGAAATGACTTCCCTCTGTGCAGTATGTGAGTATTCACAGTAGAGCTAGAGGCTGACTTCTGTCCCAATAGGTTTTCATAAGCCAGCGAAATATCTTTAGAGAAAGCATTAAAATAAGGGGATATCAATAGAGAATTTTCATTAATCTGATACAAAATTCTTCTTATCTAATTTTTTATACTCTTATAATAAAATTTGATTGAATGGTATATAATCTATAATATAGGATTATTTGTATATACCATGCATTTTCATCTTTTGATTATTAAAAATGTCTCAGTGCATTAAAATTGTGTCTTCCACAGCTTATGGATACTTAGATTAAGAAATAATGATCATTTGCATAATCACAAAGAAACATTTTCCTTCTCAGTTGTGTGGCCTTGTATGTAAATGTAAACCACCTAAGGGAATTTCCTAAACCACAGTTAAGGGAATTATTACCTAGTAGAATTTTTTGTTCTTTGGAAATTAGTACAATTGTTTATTTTGGCAGTCATTTAAAAAGCTGGCTCTTCCCAGCAGTTGAGTAAATCAAACATACTTCCATTTCAAAAATACTGCTTCTGACTTAGATCTTTAGATGTGATACTTTATTTAGAGGTAGAGCAAAACTAATTATTTTTTTCAGTTACCATATTCACCATAAATCATACAATAATTACTGTTATTTTATAAAAAATGAAATAGAAATCCCTGATTTTACCTTCTTTTATCAATCTGCTATTGAGTCTTGTTTTCTGCCAGAGAATGCCCACTGACTGCAGGCCACTCCCTAGAAGAGAGAGAGAAGGAGAGATTCTAAAGTGAACTGAGAGCCTGTCACACACTATTGCCTTTGATTTTCAAAATAACCTTTCAAAAGAGGAAAAATAATGAAGTAGTTCTCAATCTGGCTGCACCTAGGAATCCATGGGGTAAATGTTCTTCTAAAGTACTAAAATCTGGATCCTAGTTCTGGTTATTCTGATTTAAATAGTAAATGGACTTAGATACATTTGCCCAGCTTTATGGATCTATTATTGACATAGTGCTGTAAGTTTGAAGCATACAATATAATGATTGCTTTTATATTGCAAGATGATAACCAAGATTAAGTTGTTTAACACCTTTCTCCCCTCAATAATTACTTTCATTTTGCAGTAATAACATTTAAGTCCCTCTCTTATCTTTCAAGTATAGGACACAGCATTGTTAAGTCTCATCACCATGCTGCACATTAGAGCCCCGGGACTAGGTGTTCTTATAACTGGAACGCAGATATAAGTGTATCTCAGCACTCCCCTCGCCCTACAGTAACTACTATTGTACTCTCCATTTCTTTGAGGTTGACTTCTCTAGATTTCACATGTAAGTGAAAACATTCAATGTTTGTTTTGTTTTTTGGTCCAGCATCTTTTGCTCAACATAATACCTTCAAGGCACATTCATGTTGTCACAAAAGTTATTCCATAGTATTACAAACACAGAGTGGCAAATATAAATGCATCTATATGAGAGATGTGTGTGTGTTCATATACATAACATACATGCACACATGTATATATGTAGATTATATATGTATATATGTATATGTATACATACATATACATATATATAGGAATGAACACTCAGGTCATTTCCATGTTGTGGCTACTGTGGACAATGTTATAATGAACATGAAGTTGCAGCTCTCTCGGCAAGTGTCTGATTTCATTTCCTTTGGCAGTATGCCCAGAAGTAGGCTTTCTCAATCATATGATAGTTCTATTTTTAATTTCTCAAGGCACCTTATACTGTTTTCCATAGTGGCTGCACCAACCTATATTCCCCTTAGCAATGCACAGGGTTCCCTTCTCCACACCTTTCCCAACATCTGTCATTTCTTGGCCTTTTTGCTAGTAGCATTTCTGACAAGTGTGAAGTGATATCTCCATTGTGGTTTTGCATTTCTCCATCGGTATTTTTTTTAAACTCCCAGAGATGAGGAAAAATACATAGCATGGTGTTACAACAAGTTGAAGCACAGCACTACGAAGCTGGCCATAGCCACTGCAGCACAACTTTGGTCTCTAGCCAGGGAAGTGACCCACATATTGTGGCAGACCTATCCCCTTGTCCACTACTCCCCTCAGCACTGTATTTTACCAACCTGCCAGTTCTGCTCCCCACTCTGTGTCTGGTGATCCTCTCACTGCCCCTGTGCCTCTGGCCTGCACCCCAATTCTGTATGCATCAATAAGTAAACCTTTAAAAATAAATAGTACTTGCCATGTCCTACTCGCCTTTTTGGTGAAATCAGATTACGAACACACTGACCTCAAAAAATTGAAGAGAAATAAAACTGAGTAAATAAATCTAAAATAAAAATATGTACATCCAAGGTCTTGTGTAGCATGCCTGTCATATCACAGTGCTCCCATTGTCATTTCTTCAAAAGTAGCTTTTAACTTAAATCTTGGCATTAGGCATATTCTTACCCAAATGTCTTTTCTTCCCTCCGTTATTTAAGGTAGCCTTTATGTCAGGCATCTCCACATCTTTGGTCAGACAGCTTTTTGCCGGATTGCAGATCTTCAACTTTAATAGAAAGGAAGATTCACAGAGACACAGGAGTCAGCAGGAGTGTGGGTTCAGTTCATGTGTAGAACTGAGTACCTAGTGTTTAAGCCTCTGGGAAGAACCACCAATGCTTGTTTTCAGAAGCCATTCTCACTTCATCAGTGATGTGTAGGCTTTCTAAGTGTCTCTCTTCTTTTGCTGACAGGAAAGAAAAACTCTATTCTTCTGCAAAAATTCCAGAAGGATCTGAACACTGGTGTTTTCAACAATCAAGAGAATGAAATCCTGAAGCAGATTGTGAAACACGACAGGGAGATGGTGCAGGCAATTGCTCCAATCAATTATTCGCAAATGACAGCCCTGAACTCTACATCTTCAGCTACTACTCCAACCTCTCGCATGAGGACACAATCTCCACCCGTGTACACAGCCACCAGTCTGTCTCACAGCAACCTGCACTCCCCCAGTCCCAGCACACAGACCCCCCAACCGTCAGCCATCCTCCCAACCTGCTCCTATACCACCGCAGTCTGCAGCCCTCCTGTACAGAGCCCGCTGGCCTCTCGAACTTTCCACTATGCCTCCCCTACGGCTTCCCAGCTGTCTCTCCTACAGCAGCAGCAGCAGCAGCAGCAGTTACAGCAGCCCCAGCCTCCACAGCCTCAACAGCAGCCCCAACAGCCACAGACACCCAGCAGCTCCACACCGAAGAACGAAGTCCACAAGAGCACGCAGGCACTTCACAACGCCAGCCTGACCCGAGAAGTCAGACCCCTCTCGGCCTCACAGCCCTCGCTGCCTCATGAGGTTTCCACCCTGATTTCCAGACCTCATCCCACTGTGGGCGAGTCCCTGGCCTCCATCCCTCAACCCGTGACAGCCGTCCACGGCACGGGCCTTCAGGCCGCGGGCAGGGGCACTGTCCCCCCAAGAGTCACCCTGTTCCGACAGATGTCATCGGGAGCCATTCCCCCCAACCGAGGAGTCCCTCCAGCGCCCCCTCCACCAGCAGCAGCTCTTCAGAGGGAGTCTTCCTCAGTCTTAAACACAGACCCAGAGGCAGAAAAGCCACGATTTGCTTCAAATTTATGATCCCTGCTGATTATCAAAGCAGAAAGAGATACTCTAATAAACTGAGAATATTCTCAGATCTTATTTTATTCTATCTCCTGATAGATCCCTATAGCCTACTATGAAGAGATATTTTAGACAGCTCTGGCTTACATGCAAAATGTAAAATATATATACATATATATATATATTATACATATACTATTAAATATATATCTAAATTCCCAAGAGAAGATCAAAAGACCTGTTTAGCATTCAGTGTTATATGTCTTCCTTTCTTTAAATCATTAAAAGATTTAAAATGTTGTTGTAAGATTATTTATTTTTAACCTACTTTTACTTAATTCCTTTGATATATGTATTTCTCTATTTTATGAAGAGTTCTTGGATTCCATGGATACAAACTGATTTAAAAAAAAAAAGGCAACTCAAGTGAGCTACTGAATAGCACCAATCAAAGCTACTTTCATTAGCTGTGTCTCTGCATCTAAATTTTTAGTCATTAATTATGGAGGATTAAAGATCAAATCCCATTTTATAGATCTAAATTATATCCTGGTGCTTTCGATTTCGAATTAGGTTAAAAAACCCACTGTATGCTTGGCCACCATAAGAGATGAGCATTGCCACTGTTACGAATATTTCTAACCTCAAACATGTTCATTGATCTTTCAGAAAGTCGAGGAGATATTTGTCTTCATGTGTTATTGGACTTTCACCAAGACTCAATCAATGTTAGTTGTAAATAACTTTTCAACCCCAATAAAAATAGCTATTCTATGCTGTATGAAGGTAAAAGTCATCATTTAAGGATTTAGTTTTATTGCTTCACTTCAAAACTTAGAGTTTTAAATTTTACAAAACCTAATTGTGACAGTTATTCAACTGTAATGCGATGGCTTGAAACCTACAATATTAATTTAACCTGCAGTGTTTTATGCAAAATTGTATGCTCGATTCTACAGATTGCTTGTTTTACACCAAAAATCATTACTTTTCTTCCTTCTTGCCATAATCAAGCATCTGAAAATAGTCCCTGCATGCTTTTTGAAAAAAAAAAAAAAAGTAGTTTCAAATCAGTCATTGTAGGGGAAAGCTTACAGTATTTCTTATTTCTAGAAAAGTATAACCATTCATTAATTGCCTATATTAAAATTCCTATAAGGCTGACTTGGATCTCTGACTTAAGTCTAGAAGTGAGGTTTTCACTTTCTTTTAATATTATTACTCTTATCATTATTTAAGTAATGATTTGTAAATCACAGCTTGATTTAGAGTTACCAGTGTGTTCTGTGTCTTCACTGTAGTTAGTAGTTTACTGTGGTGTTGCATTAAAAAAATAAAATGTGCTATAGCATCATGTCTGTTTGGAACACACTTTGCTGTACGTATATTGTAATTTAATGGTTAGTAAATCTTAAGGCATGTGGTAACTAACATAGCCCTTAGATAGAAGGTTTGTTATTTAAATGTGCTGAAAAAGTATGGACATGATAACAGAAAGCAGGAGTTAAAGTGAATGTCTTAGCATTGTTTGTTTGTTCGTCTGTTTCCTTAACTCTTTCCATGATCTGTGAGCATCTGCTTCTTCTCAAAGAAGTCCCTTAGTAATCATTTGTGCCTAATGCATCCCACAAATGTGGTGGATGACTGGAATACAAGTGGAAGATTCCTATTAACGACTTGTGTAAATAGCCCACGTTAAGAGAACCACCTAAAGTGGAGGTCTTCGGTATCTTTGATGATACATTTCAGAAGAACTTACAAAGATCACACATTAAATGGGGCAGGGCCTCCAGATAGACTTGAGGACAGAAAACAAAAACAAAAGCAAAAACTCTAAAATGGATCCATGCTGCCTGTTATGCCTTTTATGGATATAATACCTATAATACCAAAATGAGTTGTCATGTTTATTTCCTAGCAGATCCCAACTTGTGTGGAAGTAATCAACAATGCTAGTCAATGTAATGTTATCATTAACATGCTGGTGACATATGATGGCATGTCAGGAATGGTGTAAGAAAGGGATTGTTCACTCTACCTAAAACCTATGGGAAAGCTGCAAGACCATTTACATATCAGTACAAAACTCCTTTATTTTATTAAAATGTTGAGAATTAACTTCAATTTATTAATATCATGTATTGGTCCTTTAAATTATTAAAGGTTTACATTTGATAGGACTAATGGGTTTGGTAGTGAAATATTTTTATATATATAAAATTTTGTTTTTTTTTATTTTGAGCACTATTGGAAAATATAAGCAAAATTGAATCGCATGGTCTTTCAGTGCAACCATAAAATTTTTATTCACTTTGTAATTGGATGGATGAAATACTAAGGTTTATATGTTAAACTAATAAAATGGTACAGGGTAAATTATATACATATATATGTATGAAAATATATACTTAGTTTAAGAAAAAATGGCTCACATTCCTGTAATATAAAGGTCCATTGCTAGTTGAAAAGTGACCTCTTTTCTCTGTACATAGGTAAGCCCGTAAGTATGGAGTTTTAATCTGTACAGAAAGAGATGTATTATTGAGAAGATTGGTCTTTCTGCGGCTGGGAAAATTGAAGAATAGTTGATTCTTGCAACAACTGTATGATCAGGGATGAGTTAGAGTATTTCTTTTGTCTTTGCTCAAAGCCATACATATATAAATATATATATATAAAGATTATTAATAAACTCAGAAATAAACTAAAATTATGAATATTTTATTTTATCAATATACATTAATCAAACATTTTATGTTATCTGACTACAGATCTGCCTCTTTACAACATTTACAAGAGGGCTTATGCTATTAAGCATCATTACAAAATTAATTATCCACATTCCATGACTGTAGAAAGAGTGGAATCTAAGTAGCATGTGATTTTCTAACTACTCCTGTGTCTCACCTCTTCTACATAGTTCGAATTCTTTTTAATTCTTTCCTCTATACTCCCCTAGCATATAGGTATTGTACAATTTCAAAATAACCATTTCTGTGCTATTCCTGTATATGAGGATGAGAAATAACTGCCCTATGACTTACTTATGCAGGCCTATTTATGATAGCCTTGGGCCTTATAAAGGCTTTGGACAGATAGACACTCCCTATACAAGTAGAGTTTCAATCAGAACTTAAATCCTGAGACTGAGCTTATTACAATGAATGAAGCATTCTCCAAAACTGCAGAGTATCAATAGATTCTGTCTATTAAATAAATAGCCTGTTGCTCCAGGTCTCCATAACCACTCCATAAATGAACATTTCCCTTATCCCAGATTGCTGCTGTTGTGCTTTAAAAAGATGTTTGCCATTTACAAAGTTAAGTGAGCATCACAACAGCAAAGCACCTCAAACTACAACAGTACAGTCAAATTATTAGAAACTTCCCAAAGACCTTGGGTGATTTGTACAGTACCATGTGTTTTGAATTTTAAATGTATTTCTGTAAATTCTGAATATGTTTACTACAAAGAACAAGTGATCTCAATACTTTTCATAATATTTTAAAAGTCTGTGTAACCTGCTTATGTTTGTTTTTCCACTTTGCTCCTAGAGACATTAGTTTCATCATTTAAAACATTAAGCAGCTTGAAGAAGACTTCTCTCCCTCATACCTCTATCCTTCTAGCACAAGTACCATAAAACTTAGTGTGGTTATTCTGTTTCTAGCACTATACTTAGCAACATTTTATTACATGCTCCTACTCTGAAAAATTATGCCACAGCAAAGGAAAGGATTTGGCCATCACAGGGCAATGGTCATGTCATTAATAGCCATTTTGGGTCCTGAAAAGAATGCTCAAAAATTGAAACAGTGTGACTGGCTATCTGAATTTTTATTTCTATAAAATATTATTTCATATATCATTTGGCCAGAAAAAAGAGCCTAGAACAGACTTTGAATGTATTGGGGGTATGCTTGCTGTGGGGCAGGCATGGCGATCAAAAGAATAGTGTTCTTAAGCAAATTTCATTTTCAACAAATGGCATTTTTTTTTCATTTGTTTTGTAAATCGGTCATCTATGTAGTAAATTGTGAAGAAAACTGATGCTTTTAAAGGGGGACAAAGAAAATATAAACGATCTTGCTTAAATTCATCAGATATAGGAGTCAACCTGACCAGAGCACTCATATTTCTCCTCCTCCCATTTTGAAGGTTTTGGCCAATGTCCACACTTTTGCTTTCTCTGGGCATTTTTTCACTTCACCTTTTCCTTCCTGTCTTTAGGGTATGAAACATGTAGGGAAGGAAAAATTAGTCCTTTGGGGGAAAATGTTGACATCATAAGAAGAGTTCTGAAGACTGGATGGAGATTGTTTAAAAAAAAAAAGTTTTTATTTTTACCTGTAAAAAATACTTCTAAGGGCTTGAACTATGAGGATTTAATCTCCTGGTATCTTTTCAATGGGGAAGGTTGAATTTACTGGCATAGCATTGTCTACTGTGTGTTCCTGGTGACCTTTGTCACTGATACTCACTTTCTCCCCTGCGAAGACTTTCTGCCTTAGCTAAGCTATTTAAGGTGGTACCTGAAGCCACCTGGACTGGGTACTCAGTCATGCTGGATCTCTGCCATGTACACAGGTGTACACATGTTATTATTAAACTTGCTTGGGGATTTTTTTCTCATCAATCTGTCTGATGCTTGTTTAATTATTTTTCAGTCTGGAAGAACCCAGAGATTGTGTTTGTGCTCCAACAAAAACATGAGTTTCTCTACATAGGAGAATTTTCACAATTTATTAACAAATGTGTTGCCAGAAAAATATAATTTTATTATAATTGTTTAGAATAACATAATGATTTTATAATTTTCAGTTTGGGCTACTTCATGAAATCATTGCTCCCTTTCCCTAAATTCAAGCATATTCTGTCTCAGCCACCAAACAATCAGAAAAGGAATTTGTCTCCATAAGCAATATCAGGACAAGGGGCATGATAAATTTGAGGTATTCGCTGCATAAAGAGAAAGAGCAAGAGAGAGAGTGATCCTAAAAACAACACAAAAATATTTAATGCAATGATTAAAAAGTCAAAATTAATGAAACCAAGTGTCAGAGTTTTAGATATGATCCAATCCTGCCTCAGTTGCCCTAACCTACTCCCAGTCCTGCTTCTTATTAAGATTTTGATGAGTCAACTGGAACTTAAGAAGTTTCTATGACAGGAGCCTTGCTGAGATTTGTACCAAGAATGCCCTGAAGAAGTGACTTAAAAGTGACACTGAAAAAAACTACACATAGGTTCTTTATTTCCAACCCTCCAGATATATAGAGGAGTAATATATTAAATTCTGGAGAAAGGGTTAACTTTTACTTATAAGGAAATGTGATTTTTCCAAACTATGGATGGATTTTCAGCAGAACACAGTTGACAGGTTACACTGGTAGTTCAGTGTGGCTGAGCCATATCACCAACTGAAGAACAGAAATTGAATGGGATATATAAATTTTAAACTTCCAAAGTGTTTAATTATTGAGCTAAAGATTTAATCATTTTAAATCTTCATTTGAAATAAAGATCTTATTGTCCTAGATTTCTGGAACCAGGATTACCAATGGGTAGGGTATATAGTGAAATATGTCTTGCTAATGTGACAGGACTAATAATGTGTGACAGAGCAAAAAGTGAGGTCTACTCACAATCCAACATTGCCTGGCAGAGATGCTGGAACCTAAGGAAGGTCCTAAATAGGATGACTAAAAATGAAACATAAAAATGTAGTTCCTTTGCATAAGGTAAGTGGTATAGGTGCTGGGGAAGACTTTGAGAACATAAGAATTAATACCTCTGTGAAGGGGAAGGAATAAAGAATAACTTTAGCCAAAAATGAAATGAATTCTTCAAATCTTATGGGAACTATTATAGTCTGAAATTTGACAAAGATGGATTTTTCTTGGGCCTGTTTTATTTCTACTGAAGAATCATTTACTCGCAAAGGGAAACATCTCTTTACTTTGTAAGTTGTAATTGTTTCAATGATAACATTTGATTAGAGGTAAAGATCTGTTTATTGAACTCATCCGAGTATTTATATTGAGAAAACTATTTTTCCCTGTAACTTTCTAGGTTCTTGTCTCAGACACCTCCTGTAAAAAGTACAGATTAACAGGAGAAAAACAAATTTAAATTGTACATATACAAGCCCCTATAAATATAGGAGGACCAAATATATATATATATATCCAAAGCATGCTGATTTTATACCTGTTTGCAAGGAATCTGTCTGTGAAGAATGCTCAAAGTCTTAGTAAGTTAGAAAAAATATATAGCTAAGTTTGTTTATGATCTCCTTGGCCTTACATTCCTGGTACCTGGTGATAAAGATGTCTCTGTACCACCTGATTCAGGGGTATTCCTTTCAGATGGGAGATTTATTTCCTGATTTGAGGGAGACCAAGAAGAATTAGTATGTCCTTTATTCAGTTATTTCTTAAGTAAATTTAATTCCAAAATAATAATAATAATTTTGCAAAAGTGGTGTATTTCAGGGCACCCTGCCCTGAACTGCATTATAGTAAATAAAATTGCCAGCTTGATTAAGTTCCCAGGGAGAAAATTCAGATTTACAGAGGAATTTTTTTCCCTGAAATAGTTTTTATTTTTCTCAAATTTATGGGGGAAATGCTTGAGGAAAAGGGAAGTGTAGTTTAAAAGAAAAAAAGAAAGTAACTCAAAGACATTTGAAAGGTGCAAAAAAGTTAACCAAATGTGCTTTCATTACTTTCTTGGTACATATTTGTTCAAGGCCTCAGTCTCTAATCATTTAAAAATAAGTGTTTGTGCCTGTCTCTTCTCTATGATCTGTTGCCAGTGTTACATATTCTAATGCTATTGAAAATGTGCTGTTCTGAATTGGTCCAAGTATGATATTCTGATATCTAATTTAATTAAGTATGTTATTTGGAAAATATTAATAGCATTTAACACATAAAAAGCTTATGCATGACATATCATTTCTTTTCCATATCAAGGATCAAAATATATTGACTGTGTTGGCCTGTAAACAAACTTACAGAAAGGTCCAAGTGATTATTTGTCTCTTCCCAGTACTTGTCTTCCAGTGCTCAACTCAAGAGATAAAAGGCATATCTCAAGACTCTAGGATGTGTCAAAATGTTTGACCCTGAAATTCAGAACTCCTCTCAGGATCAGTGGCTACTTGAGATGATTGATCTCTACTTGGTAAAAGTAAATCCCATTTTGGAAGTTAGCTAAATTTCATTTGAACTCTATTTTGTTTTTAAGATTTATTTATTTGTGCATACAGAACTAGGGTACAGGCCAGAGGCTCAGGGGGCGGTGAGAGGCTTCATCAGAGACAGAGTGGGGAGCAGAACAGGCAGATCAATGAAGTGCACTGCTGAGGGGAGCAGCGGGCGGGTCAGGAGAGGTCTGCCACACCATGTGGTCACCTCCGGGGCAGGCGGGAATCGAACTCATGCAGAAGTGGCTTAAGATTCTCAGTGCTGTGCTTTAACCTGCTGTGCCACCAGGGAGGGCCCTGAACTCTATTTTTTTAAATAGACAATAGATGATCTAGTTTATCATAACTGAGTAAACACAAAAATGTGATTATTTTAATGTATGTCAGATAAATTGTCTCTGAAGACCTTCTAAATTTGTTCCAAAACTCTTTAGATATGTATGACTTATAAAAATAGAACTCTAAAACTCTAAAGAGCTATGATATTTCATTAAAAAAA